ACTACAAGCTCCACCCCTATCCACTTTATTTCCCTCCTCTTTGTTCCACAGCCACGTCCCAGTTCCATACTACAGAAATGTTCTGGCGGAGTCGGTCTGCAGACGACACTGACTTGACATCATGGAACTTAATGTCTCCTACTGCAGCGTTAACTAGATGTATTCATTGTATATTAATAGCAAACACTGTAGCACAAGCTATACACTATTAAAATGTAGTATGGAACTGGGTACAGCTACACCATTTTAGTTCTGGTTCTCCTGACTGCTTTGGATCTTCCCAGCAGTTTTTCCACAACCTTGCCACTGTTCTTCCCCCCCTTCCCGTGTCTCTATATCCTCAGTAACAACAGTACAATGCTGGCTCTCACTGCTGCAGGCATACGTGGGATTACTGGAACTCTCTGCTGCACGGGAGAAATATAATGAGTTCTGTGTGCCGATGGTTATGGTCCCCGCCACCGTTTCCAACAATATACCTGGTTCGGACCTGAGCATTGGCTCAGACACCGCTCTGAATGCCATTACTGATGTAAGTGTGGCTGGGGTAGAGTGTGTGTTTGTAGTTAGGCTTGACACACACACAACACCCGGCCTGTCAGTGTCGGGCTCCGCTGATCGACAGCTCGCGTCCCTGCATTAACAATCAGTACAGCCCATATGTAGATAACGACATTAGATAATTTAGGAAAATGCTGCTTATGAGGTTAAATGTTGACTTGCACTGTTGGCTTCCACAGAGGTGCAAACATAGGCAGCGTGACACTCGGCAACCAAACCTGCAAGTCAGATTTACATTGATCCACATACACGTTGTCATGGCTCCATTTTTTTGAAACCACTGTTCAGTGAGCTGGATGTTGCAGTCACAGGTTTTACCAAACCTTCTGCAGAAAATCAGGATCTCACACACACACACACACGGTGCATCAGGACATGCACGGTAGAAAACCCTTGTTGCTGGAGGCGAGCTGGTCAGCGGAGGTCCCAGGTAAGTGCTGGGGCATGCAGTGGCGTATTGTGGCATGTTTTTGGCGTGTTGGTGCAGCCTTTCCTCTGTTTGCTTGGTAGACAGCCACTTTAACTCAACAGGGATGCTCTGCTTGCTGCGTTTTACCTAACTACAGTAGTAGTGTCTGTGCGTTTGTAGAGTAGCTTTGCATGTTGTGTAGGGACACTATGTACAAGTCCAGCACACTGAGTGGAGTCTACATTTAATTAACCAGAACCTCTTGCCTTATTTTGGCCCTGATGTTAAAAACAAGAGCCCCTCACGTCATGGATGTAAAAGGAAACCTCAGTCTGAGCCTCTGGAGTTGCATCTTAGCCTTTATCTTGTCAACACTTGTTACTTGTCGGCCAAGGTTAACCCCTTCCCCTCCCCTCCCCTCCCATCCCATCTCCTCTCAGCCAATGGGAAGCCAAAGCCCCTGTCCTCTGGAGAGAGCCAGCCATCAGTGCACACACACACACACTGCAGGTCATATGCACATATAGAGCTGCTTCATCATGATCACAGTTAAATTAAAACTCCCTTCACTTGTGTCCTTCATGGTGAATTGTCTTTGGAAGCTCAAAATGTGTAATGCATGTATATTTTTATTTGGTAAAATCGATTTTTAAACTTGTACAGAAAAAAGTATAGTTTAGGATCCGGTATCGAACATTTTGGAATGATGCCCTGCCTACGACGACGTCTAGGTTTTCATTCACCAACTCCACAGTGACAGACTGTTGCTCTGTCGTATCCGAACCAGTGAAATCAGCCACGCGTCCAAATATAAATGGTTAAGTTCTCATTTGTTGTGTGTATAACAGCTACTGCAGAAAGGAGCGGAGAGGGCTTCGGGAACAAAAAGGCTAAAATCTTTGGAGAAACATTTTGTTTTCTTTTTCAAAGTCTGCTGACATCTGATGCTGCGCATACAGAGAAGCAAAGCTGCTTTCAAAACAGTCTAATATATATTGCACTGAAATGGGCCACAGCTTCAGTTTCAACCTAGAAAGTGTCAGTCACCAAGGCGAAGGATCCAAGTCAGGGGAGTCACTGTGCACCATGAAGCAGCCTGTAAGAACACTGTAGTCCCCCACACGAGGACACACTGACAGGGTCTCATGACTTCTAGTCGTCCCACTGGTGCTCTAACCCCATGTTACGGCCACCACCATCAGGCCCTTGAGTCCCTGCTGCAGCTGTCCCAGGCCCGGGCCACCTACGAGGAGTTTTGCGTCCCGATGTGCATGCTGCCTGCCACCATTAGTAACAATGTGCCCGGCACCGACCTCAGTATCGGAGCTGACACATCCCTCAACGCCATCGTGGAGGTAAGGGCCCACGCACATAGAAAACCGCTAACAGCTGCAGGTGGTCTACAGCATCACCTGTTTAATAATGACAACTGTCACTGTGAGGAAGATGCTTGACAGCAAACCGTCCCCAGAGTGAAGAACACACTACCAACCAAAGGCAAAGGGTTAACCCAGAAATGATGAAGATAAAGGTTTTGTCTTCCCCAAAATATGTTTAGGAAAATGAATCTGACCTAATATGTGGGTATGTTTTGGTTTGAGACCTTTAGTAAGTTCCCCTTTTAACACCTGCAAGAAACATGGCAAATCAAGATCACAAGGCTGACACTTAAAACGTAAATTTTTATACTTTGTTCATAAATTCAGCCCTGTGACAGCCCCCCGATCCTATCTACACCTCTTATTCCTGAATAAGTCGTGTAGATAATGGATGGATACTTGGTTCATAAATTTGGACTGAACAAGTGATTCTTTTCTTACGTTTAACATGTATCATCATTCACTAGATCTCTCACAAAATCGCACCATAAATTCATATTTCTGGAGTCGTGAGACTTCTGCTAGCTGTGAACAGAGAGGACAGAGCCTGGGTGAACCTGCTGGGACCCTCGTTAACAGTGGCTCAGTCTTATCACAGTATGATCCCAGTTAACCTCCTGCAACTACAGAGATGAAAACCGCAGTAAGATCAGTGCGTCTCTGTGAGTACACCTTTTCCTGTTTTGTGAAATGGCCAGTCCAAAATACAGAGCTCCAAAGACCATAATGCATTTGCACGTCAGATGGCGTGATGCATTTTGGGAGCAGCTCTGCGCTGTGCCTTCTCTTCCTGCTGGGAACTTGTATGATGCTGTTTGTGTCCGAAGAGCGCGTCACTGCAGTGTGTCGCTAGGACTAAACCGTCCATCAGCGCTTCTGCTTCAACTGTGTTCACACCATCGGGTTAGAACAGAGGCTCAGCAGAGATGCACAGGTGGGCTCTGCCAGCCACAAGTTTAGATTCTCTTCCCATGTGTGCACATAGAAAAACCATTGTTTTTTAAGGCAGTGAGCTGCTAGACTACAGACTGTTATCATAGCCACACAAATAAGATGCTTTTGTGGTGAAAATATTAATGTTGGACTTGTCACGTGCACTGAAATGGGCCTCCGCTAAGGCTGTAAGCACTTGACGCAGCTTGTTTAGCTGCAGAATGCATGCCTGAAACTTTTCAAAGGTAATGAAACAGATCAGGCTGCCTGCAACAACAGAAACCCCAATTAATTTGTTAGTTGTTTTTTTTTTTCCCGGGATGGAAAACCAAAACTGACAAATCATGTCCAACATTAAATAAAATCCTGAAGATACTAAAAATGTTTGAATGAAGCTAATATTTTGTAGTTTCTATAGATGAGTCATGAGGCTTCATAGGGCGCCAGCCCGTACTGCAAACTCTCAGAAGTACAAAAGAAATGCGCAGTAGAGACTGAGCTATAAACTGCTGCATTAGCTGAAGTGAACTTGATTCTATAATGCAGCTGCTGATCAGGAGTCGGCCTGTGCATCACAGAACCTCAGTGTTTCATCTTGTAGTGAGACTGTAAACATGTAGCCGGTTTCTGTTTTCTGAGTCTGCTGAAGCGGAGCTGCAGATGACATCATCAGTTACATTTTGTTGTTATACGGATTTATTTAACTTCATATTGTTTACTTAGACTGACCACAGAACAAAAAGCTGCATTTAATTTATATGAAATGAATAAAAGCAGCATAACCCCACATTTAAAAAAAAAAAAAGCACAGCAGTGAATGTGCATTACTCAATTAGTTAACTTTGTTAACGGACTTATGAACTGATGGTTTTTCCAGCTCTGCTTGTGCAGCCGCACACTTTCTGTGGTGGACAAATCCAGTTTTGCCTGTTGAATAACAGTAAACTCTGTGTGCATGTGTGAGTCAGACATGTGACCGCATCAAGCAGTCTGCCAGTGGCACCAAGCGGCGGGTCTTCATCATCGAGACCATGGGCGGCTACTGTGGCTACCTGGCCACTGTGGGCGGTCTGGCTGCAGGCGCTGACGCCGTCTACATCTTTGAGGAGTCATTTGACATCCGGGACCTGCAGGTCAGACACTTGCCTGTGTTTCACTTTTGATTTGAACTTCTTGGCTCTGTTTTCACGAACTGATGCTTCTCCTCATCACCACCTAAACCTCTGAACATCTGAGCTTTCTTTCTTGTCCAGTACCGTTGGTTTTTCCTGTTGTTTGATTCTCAGTGTAGTAACATGATTGGACCTTGGCTCAAATGCTGCAGAACAGACCAAGCCAGTCTCTGCCTCTGCCTGGATGTTTCAGGAGTGTGCATGTGACCCAGAAAATAGTAATGAAGCAGCTTATTTAATAACCTCTGAGCTGCATCACTCAGTCCATGACAGACATCAGGGTTCAGTCATAAATTAAAACTTCCTTTTTATTTTGTAACATTTTACTGGAATTTGTCCCTTTGTTTAATCTGGTCCAGTCTAACCTCTTACGTACACCTTCTGTGACAAGTGTTTCAGTTTGGGGGGCAAAACATCATATTTGGGGAAAAAAAACAATTTCTCCTCCCCAAGGCTTTTTAAAAAAATATCAGAGATGATCAGAATGTAAACAGTTAAATGATTACAAATGACTACGGGGTCCCAAAACGCCCAAACAAGCCTGTGTTGCATTAAACCAACCTGTCTTAAAGAGCAGGGATGGCGCCCCCTGGTGGCGTCAGTGCCATCCTGCAGCCCTCCTTTCCGGAGATGATGACAGGAGGCAAGCGATTTGCAGCTGATGAGCTGCTGGTGCAGGTTGCAGGCCGCCGTCGCTCCGGTTTGATGAGGCTTCGCTGTGTTTTCAGGCCAACGTGGAGCATCTGACGGAGAAGATGAAGACGAGCATCCAGAGAGGCCTGGTGCTCAGGTGAGACTCATGAACCGGCCACTTTTAATCATTACATTTCTAAGGTGCTGCTGTTTCCTTGGCATGACCTCAGAACACACTCTGGGAGTGTGCGTGGGCTACTGAGGGAGAAAACCTCTAAAGAAGTGTAAAATATTTACACTTTATTTCTCAGGGACTATTTTTTGTGATTATTGTAAATGTGTATTTGTTTTAAATTGCACAAAACCAGCTGGTCTTAAGATGTTTGACATCAGCTCGACCTTACAGACGTCATGTCTTGCGGTTATTTTAGTCGACTGCACCATCATGCTGCTGAAACTGTTCCCAGCAGGATGAGCTCTGTGGAAGTAGGACACTGTGTGTCTGTGCTGAGGCATGCACCTGCTTAGTTTTATTATGAGACGCGCTAACAGTGGTGCATCTGCAGTGGACAGAAGTGATGCCCTGGCCTGAGGACACTAGAGCACTTGGGGTAAAAACCAAGGCCGGTTCACTCAAATTACAAAAGAAGTCCCACTTCCCTCTGGTTCTGTTGAGCCATGCAGATGTCATTTTGTTTTTATTTGTCTGGGTTTTGAGACTGTGGTATTGAAGACTGACCCTTTGACTGACCTGTGTGTTTAGGAATGAGAACAGCAATGAGAACTTCACCACTGATTTCATCTACCAGCTGTACTCTGAGGAGGGACGAGGAGTGTTTGACTGCAGGAAAAACATCCTCGGTCACATGCAGCAGGTCAGACACACACACACACAGACACCAGCTGAGCTGGTGATGACGTAGGAAACCAATAAACTCTGATCATATTGTTTTACAGAAGTTTGATTAAACTGATGATGGTCATATAACTGAGGATTTAGTGTGAGAAGTGGAACCCACCTCAGTTTCCATCATTTAACATGCATAGAAAAATACCTTTTTAATGTTATATTTTCCAGCCTTATTTTGAATAGAACCTATTTTCTTTTCAAAGGGAGGAGCTCCTTCTCCGTTCGACAGAAACTTTGGCACCAAAGTCTCTGCTAAGGCCGTGCAGTGGATATCACGGACACTCAAGGACTGTTACAAAGGAGGTAAATGATGAGGATGTTTATTTGTTAGGGGCTGTGCCCGCATCTCTGCACGAGTGGATACAGGGTGTTTATGTATGGACCTAATGTGTCTCGGTGCTGGTGCTTGTCTTCCGTGCAGGGCGAGTGTTTACTAACTCGGAGGACACCGCCTGCCTGCTGGGGATGCGTCGCAGAGCTCTGGTCTTCCAGCCTGTGGCACAGATCCGGGACGAAACGGACTTTGTGTAAGGAAAACTCCTTTTAACCTGTTACAAAGCAACTCTTTGACTCACTACACCAGTAGGACAGTTTCAGAGCAGTAACTGTAATGACATATGCACCTTGTTTGGCAGCAGGTCCCTTTTTATCAGCACAGTATCAAACTCCAAATTACAACTTAGAAGTAAAACCTGGAGGTGTTGTAGCAAAACATCTCCAGCGGCTTCAGAAAATATTCCCACCCCGTCACTTGTTGCACACTTTGTTTCATAGATTTAAATGTAAACGAATTAACATTTCCAGCAGCTAATTGGCAGAAAGAGTCAGATTCCAGTGCTTTAACGTTGTCACAGAAAACATTTTGTCAGAGTTTATGTAAACTGATGGGCACAACTTTATTCATTTCAAATTCAATCTAGAACAGTGTGCACAACAGTGAAGGCATATAAACAGTGGTGGAAAGTAACTAAGCACATTAACTCAAGTACTGTACTTAAGCATGAATTTGAGGTACCTGCGCTTCGAGTATTTCTATTTTCTGCTACTTTAGCTTCACTATATTTTAGAGGCAAATATTTAGCCTTTTACTGCATTATGTTTACTTTAAACTTTAAGTAGTTACTTTGCTGAATCAGATTAATTTTTTGATCCTTAGTAGCTAAATTTACCTTCACCTTTACCAGCTGCAATGTTAATGTGCACAATAATGGATCAATAATTAGAGGCCTACTTTATTAATGTGAAATGTGGCATTCTGCATAATGAGTACTTTTGCTACTTCAAGTATATTTTGATACTTAATATTCTGAATGTGCAACTTATTACAGTATTTTACCTGTACCCCAGTAAACAATCTGAGCACGACTTTCACCACTGGGTATAAATATCCATTTTATTTTTTAGAGCGAGCCTGTTAGTCTCCCCCTCTGTCCAGTCCTTATGCTAAGCTAACCGTCTCCTGGATGGCGCTTTGCCCTGGAGCAGAAACCACTTCCCAACCTCGACCTTCCTCGGTGCACAGCGGACATTAGACTTAATCAGACACAGTGAAACTAAGAACAATGACTGCATTTTATTTGCAATGAGGAAAAAGACAAATGACTTTATGTGATGCTGGAGTTTTCGGGCAGGTGTCGTCATCCCCGTGCTTTGTCCTTTATCCCTAAGGAGCGGTGGTGGCTGAAGCTGCGCCCGCTGATGAAAATCCTGGCCAAGTACAAGACGAGCTACGACATTTCCGACTCCGGCCAGCTGGAACATGTGACACGGGTCCGACCCAAGGAGAGCGACGCCTCTTAAGCCATCTGAACCAGTGCGAACGGCAGGAAAGCGGCTTCACATACAGTGACAGCTGCTCACACAATGACTGACTGCAGATAAATGAAGGTTAGAGTTTAAAAGATAGCTGCTAATGTTACAGTTATACTGAATAGTAACCACAGAAGGACTCTTCTATATTTTAGACAAGTTGGAGGGTCGTCTTGTGGAATAGAGCTTTATGTAGTTTCAACAGTTTAGCAGCACTAAAACTATTTTCTGGTATGCACTCTTTAATGTTTGACGCACATAGTTCTGAAGACATAGCTGTATCTAATGTAAGCTGCCTAGTGACTGAACGTCCACGATGTGTAAACGCAGCGGGGCTGAGGTTGGTTTTACTTTCTCCAGCACTTTAGGCCTAGAAGCTGCTTAGAAAAGGGAACCACTTGCTACCAGTCGGTCTGTTCGCACCTTGATTGTAAACTGCTACAACCACCGAAAACTTGACAGTGTAACGCACAGGAGGTTTAGTGAGGCTTCAGGACGAGCTGGCCATGTGTCCTGTGACCTGATAGTTGTGTGTGTGTGTGTGTGTGTCGTGTTGTTGCTCTGTGTATCTGCCCTGGGCTTTGTATATGTAGCATCTTGACTGTGGTTACTTGTCAGAGTCCTGCTGTTGCTCTAGTCTGGCGGTAAAGTGGAGGATGTCTGAAACACATTAGCTTCATGTGATGTGACAGTCCTGTGTCAGAGTAATAAAGCATCTATTGTGTGGAAAATTATGAGATTGTGTTAAACATGATGTTACAGCTTCTTTTAGATAACAGGTCTGACTTTTCTAGCGGTATCCAGCTGTGCAAACAGGTTTGGAGATCTGTGCCAGTCACCTCCAGCCCCAGTACAGCAGCTGGAAAACCAACAGTCTACTCCAGACCTTGTTAACATTTGGGCAGAACTACTTTGTATAGGAGCAATAGTTAGTGGCTTTTCCAGTGTGATTCTAGAACTATGTCACTACTGGTTTCAACGTGTTGTACTGAGGCAGAGACTAAATATCTCACAACCTGGGTCAATAAATCCACAAGCATGTGCATGGTTAAATACCACTTGAGGTCAGGGAGAAACCGGTGAACAATAAATGAGTGAGATTCTCTGAAGCAGCAAGTGATGAATTTTATTCTTCTGTGGCTTTTAGATGTCAGCGATGAGACACCGATAACAGACGTCAAACCTGCTTTTAATTGGTATTGAACCCGTTTCCAATTCAAAGAAAGGCTTTTTTAAAACTAGCATTAATTTACTTTGTCCAAGTTTATAACGATCTTCAGTTTTCAGAAATAACTGATATTTTGGCCCAGATTCAAACCAGAGAAACCGTAACCACCTCCTACAGCCAGAACAACTCAGCCTAAAGGACAACCGCAGTGAGTTTCTATTTCTCTTGGTTAGTTTCCACAAATCCTATTCAGACTAAACCCAGTGATATACTTTGGTGCTGAACCCAGGTGAAGTGTTTCTTGCTCGACACGTGTGGGATACGTCTTATTTCAAAAACTATGAACAGCTGTTTTACAGTCTGAAGTCAGCGAATCAACAGATCTCTGCTGTGTCCACACAACTCCACCAGACACTGTTAAAAAAGTGATGGCTGTTCATAGCTGTTGCAGCTGGTTTTTGAAATAAGATGTACCCCAAATGTTTCATGAGCACAAAAAATGTCGCCCATTGCAGCGGTGTGGCTTACTTTTTTCCTTTAGACAATGATGGTCTGGGACAGAACAATAAACTAAACCAGGGTCTGGAGTCACAGGCATTGGGGCGAGTGCACCTTTACTGCTGCTTTTCATCTCTGGCTGTGATTTGTGGAACATAACCAAAAAAAGAAAACTGAGAAAAGGTTTCAAAGTAAAATCAGTACTAAAGTCACAGTTTGATGAATATGTACAGACAATCTGAAGAAAACAGCCACGTTCCTCCTGGGGGTTGTGCGTTTCTTGCCACCATTTAAAAGAAAGAACTGCCTCTGAGTTTTCAGTACGTTATACATCCCGTCACTGTGCTGCAGCTTAAGTCCAGTTAAGTTCTCAGTCTAAAAGTACCTGCTGGCTGTTACTTGACAATCCATGATGGGTCTTTCCTTATCGTCTCGTTTTCTGGGCCGAGGATGGTAACGCCATGTGTCCTCCGACCGGCACTGAGGTACCTGCAGGAGCACAAGGCGAAGAACATATACTTCAGAATGCATCCAAAAAAGAAGGTACAGTTTTAAGGGTGTGAGCCAAGTCGTCTTTTTATTTTTTTATTTTTTATTCTTTCTAGGTCTGCATGACATCACAGCCACTACAGCTCAGACCTACTTTCACAACTCTGTA